GGAGATAGCGATCGAGATCGATTCATCGTAATTAGGTCGCTGCCAGGATCGTCACGGTCCAAAAGGCGGAAAAATTCTTTTATTGCGACGTAGCAGGAAAGCGATCGTAAAACAGAAAGCTTATGATAAACTCGCTTAGCTTTGTAGATATCTATAGGAAATGAAATATCATCCAATTATTAATGTTTTCAATGCGTCTCAAAGCGTACGAGAAGAGCGTCTTTCTCAACGTATCTGATAATAAGAAAATGAAAATAAATACAAAAAAAAAATAAGAAAAGAAAAAAAAGAAAAAACAAATAAAAATGGAGTCGTCAAGAGAAAACACGGAATCATCTCGAATGTGTCGACGAAATAAAAGAAGATGATGATGCTGAGCGAAAACGAGATCGCAATAAAGTCGAATAAGGGAATCGTTGACAGGGAATGAATGCGTTTGGATCGATTATATCTCTCTATATATATATACATACATACTTACATATATACATATATACATACATATATACATACATACGTACACATATATATACATACATACATACATACGTATACATATACATGCATACATACATACATACGTATATATATACGTATATATAAATATCTGCAGACATTTATTTGTTGCTAATTAAATTTCTCATTTCGACATCAAACGCAGATTAGATCGTAGTGTGAAATACATAAATGAACGATCCTTTCGGTGATAGATTTGTGAGAAAAGTTAGCTAAGAAAGTGTCTACAATCTTGATCTAGCTATCTAGCTATCTACCCCATTGCTGTTAAAGACAATAAAATGCAAAACATTGCAAAAAAGTTTTGTTGTTAGTCAAACTGGGACCGCACGCGCTGCACACCTACGGCATATAAGTGCCTATAGAGTCAGAACATCAATCAAAATTAAGGCCCGTATTCATAGATCGATGCTCGAGATCTTTCTACACGAATATGCCCCACGCTTCCTTCGAGCGTTCTTAACTCGTTGATTATGATATATATATATATATATATATATATATATATATATATATATATACATATATCGGATATATATATACATATATCGGATATGGATATATATATACATATATCCATCTCTCTCTCTCTCTCTCTCTCTTTTTCTCTCTTTCTTGTACGTACCATACGTAGAAACTGCATACAAATTCATCTATTCATAGTTCTACTTTCTTAATTTGCCATGTCCTCTAATTAATGTAATGAACGATAACGATAATGTAATGAACTACATACATGAGTCTTAAGTGTGATTATCGAAGTATACGTATTTTCTATGGAAATAATCGGCGATTAAAGATTTAAAATATATATGTGTGTATATATATATATATATATATACATATATGTATAATTTTTTCACGAGTACAGATATGATGTAACATTAAACATTGTTCCGATTGCGTCACGGATAATTGCGTGACGAATAAATTACGGTTACTAAATGTATGAAGAAGAGCTGCTCGTCTCTGCGATCGAGATACTAATGTAATGCGTTATGATATATCTATCTTCACACTTATCGAAGCAAAACGTATCGATGAGATAGAAGAAGAAGAAGAAGAACCAGATAAAAAAGAGAAAAAAAAGATATAATAATAATAAAAATTGTTTTCTCTTCATCGAGAAAGACAGAACACACGAGGAAACGTATAATAGATGTAATAACACATTTAAGCTATCTGTGATTTGACTCTGTACCTCCCTCCCTCCTTTCCCCCGCCCTCTCTCGCCCCACTCCTATACGAGAGATAGAGAGAGAAAGAGAGATTACATAAAGCAAGATATACGCACATCGTTTCCCTTAGCTCAAGCTAATTAACCACTCTTGATGCAATTACAGTGAGTGAACATCTTTAAAAGAAAAAAAAAGAAAGAAAAGAAAAATTTTGCCGAGTGCAGAAATGTTGGCAAAGAGCGATCTAGACTCAATTAGAAAAGTATTCTCTTCGATGGAAGAAAAAAAAAGAAAAAGAAAAAAGAAAAAGACGATATGAATGAACAAATGAATGAATGAACGAACGAATAAATAAAGATGGAAAAGTCGACGAAAGTGAGACAACAATAAAAATAACAGAGATAAATATTATAAGAGATGAAGAAGGAGAAGAAAAGAAAGAAAAGAATAGAAAAAGAAAGAAAATAAACATCTCTCACCTTGACTGTGCTCACCAGCGTCGAAGGTCTTGCTCGTCATCTGGAACAGTGCGTCCAAAGGACTACCCTGTCCAGTACTTCTTTTTCCATTCTGTCCAGCCTGAGAATTTCCATGATGCTGAGAACTCTTTTTCTTGAATTGCTGTTGTTGTTGATGTTGTTGTTGGTGTTGGTGCTGTTGTTGTTGTTGCTGAAGAGCCGCCGCGTGTAGTCCTGGATGAACGGCGTGGTGTCGTGCCGCATGATGATGATGATGATGATGGTGATGGTGATGATGATGAGCAAGAGGATCAGGACTACCGGAATCGGATACAGAACTTCTTCCGGATGAGGAGGAGCTACTGAGAGGTGGCTCGCTTATTGTACTTGACATAGACGCTAGTGACATGCCCATCAAGGACAAGTCTCTGGTACTTGAATTCGTCGAGTGATTGTGATGGTGAAGATGATGATGATGTAGGTGATGTTGTAGATGTTGTTGTTGTTGTTGTTGTTGTTGCTGCTGTTGCTGTTGCTGCTGTTGATGATGATGATGAAGATGTTGACGATGACCGTGAGTAGAATCTACCGTGTCCCAGGGTCTAACGATTTTCGCTTTTGGCCGATGTGATAAAATATCTAATATACTGAACGATTTAACTCCGCGCTCGTTGCTATCACGTTCTCGTTCCTCTTCTTCATCTGAATGTTGCATTTGAACCATTTGCAATCGTTTTAACGGTTTAAAATAATCGTCCGTGGCACCGGCAGTAGCCGTGGTACCATTGCTGCTAGTTCTACTCTCAAGTTCCTCCTCGTCCTCCTCATCATCGTCGTCCTCTCTCAATGTTGTTACAGAATCACCACCACTACTCTCATGAGTCCTTATTGAGCTCCTCCCGTTCGATGTTCTATAATCGCTATTTCTTAACGAATAATTGTCCTCACTGTCCATCGCAGAATCCGTCCTTGTGTATCCTACTCTCCTTGGGCTCAAACGTTCGACATAATCCTCCCTGGAAGATGCTAGTCGATCGTCGCTCTCCGTGGAAGACGCGACCACAACCAACGGCAATGGACTTGGACAACCAACAGAAATGACGTCCTCATCGTCCTGTACTTCACTACCACGACACGGTGAACCTCTGCAAGGTGTCCGTCGGTGGCCGGGCGAGCCAACCAAACAGGCGGCCGTCGTGCCGCTGGAAGACACGGTCGTTGACGGTGACATCGTATACGATTCCGTCATCTCCGTCGTGCACATGATTCTTTTATATCTTTAACCTATTGTTTGTCCTTACTTTTCTTTTTCTTTTCTTTTTTAAGCTCTACGCGTTATATTAATAAATAATTCTTTCTTTATCGTTCTCCCTTTCTCTCTGTCTTTCCCCCTCTCTCTCTCTTTCTCTCTCTCTCTCTCTCTTCCCTTCTCAAATTTCATTGATCGACACAATACACCATTCTTAAAACACGACACACCTAGTCCCGTTCACATAAAATCTTAAACTTTTAAACACTATCGTTCCCGATTCCTTCTTGAGGAACGGTACCGCGATTTGTTCTTTTCTTTTGTGTTGTTCTCTATTATTTATTTACTTTTTTTTTGTTTAAATTCGTTGTCTCATAATGTATCGCGCACGTTCACCATGTCATCCTGATCTGAATCTTGTTATCTTCTCTTTCTTGACACTCTTAGCTTTTCTTCCTGTCCTGCCATTTGATAAGAACTTCTCTCACTTTTTCTGTACTCACTTCTCGCGCTTCTTTTCTTCCTGTTATCATATATATATATATATATATATACATATATATATATATATGATATATATATATGTATGTATATTTTATATATATATATAATATATATATATAATATATATATAAAAAAAATAAATCACAAAGATTAAGAAATACTTTCTGTCGGCCTTTTTATGATCTATCTTTCGATAGCTCACCACAGTTTCAACTTGGTTTTCATACGCAAGAATTCGTTTTTATATCTTCATAATCACAAAAACTGTCTCACGATCATGAAAACACGAGGAACAATGATCGATGAGTATCGGCAAACGTAGATTTGTTACTTGATTCGTTCTCTTCGTCGTTCTCTTCGACGAGTAACGTGTTATCAGTCGTCACCTCCATGAATGTAAAAACACGTGTCCAGGTATGATCTTCTCGTGGATCCAACAAAATAGTAGACACTAATTTATACGAAATTTTCTACGTGCGAATATTTACACTTTTGAGACAGATAAAATCGACGAAAAAATCACGCCCGTAACGATAAACAGATAGATAAATAGATAAATAGATAGGTAAATAGAGAGAAAGATGGATTGATGAATAGTTGGGTAGACAGATATAAATAAAGATAAAGATAAGGATAAGGTTAATAAGAAAGAGAAAGAGAGCAAGAGAGAAAGAGAGAGAGAGAGAGAGAGAGAAAGAGAGAAAGAAAGAAAAAGAGAGAAAAAGAGAGAAAGAAAGAAAGAATCTCGGTATATTTCTCTTTCGAGGTGCAGAGACAGCCGATGTGTGTACTAGCGTGGGGCCGAGGCTCCTCTCAGGCCAGGCCAAGGCAGTGACTCGAAATGGTAAGGGGTCCGGGGATCCAGGGCCGGTGTAGTTCTCCTAGGGGCTGGCACTTCTCCCCGACAAACCGCCTCGACGCGTTTCTCGACTATCGTAGGTGGGGATAACGCGAAAGTGGCGATAGCTTTGGGTGCTATACCACTTCCATCGGTGGGATGTACCTTGCTGGTTGCTTGCCCGTCCATGGGGCGGCTCCTAACATTATCCAGCCCACGTTGAACCCCTTTCTTCCTTCCTAATTTCCTTCGTCAGTTCCTACGGCGACATTAACCCGAGCTCTCGACCGTTCGAACCTTCTCGTACTATCCTTGTCTCTCTCTCTCACTCTCTCTCTCTCTTTCTCTCTCTCTCACTCTCTCTCTCTCTCTATCTCTATCTCTCTCTGTCTTTCTTACTGTTCCTCTGTTTCTCTGTCTCTTTCTTTCTCGTTCATTCGTTCGTTCGTTCGTTCTTCTTGAACATCACGTGACACGCCAAAATGACGACGACGGTGCCTTAGTGGAATTTTTACGAGACGTAAGGTACTTAACGTTCTCCTTGCAATGGTCCTCCTTCGTCGGGCCAACCTACCCTTCGTTCCTTCTCTATTTTTCCACCATCTAATACTTTTCTGATCTATCGATAATTGTTTTCTCTCAAAATTTCCCTTTTTTCATTTTTAACTACTCGCCCCCCTTTCCAACGAAATATTTGATTAATGAAATACTTATATATTATTATTATACGTGACATTGAGTTTCTCGTTCAAAAGATATCTGACGGAACAATATATAAGAAAATTCGTTAAATCATCGAATATATGTCCGAAAATTTAGATATAAAATTTTTCTTTTGGACTTTTTAACAATAGAAATTTTGAACGATAGAAAATTTAACGAATAATATCGATTCGATCGAACGATCAAGTACCGAAATTGTAATCAATTTTTAACAATCGAAATAAACAAGAGCGCGTGGTAGGATACAGAGAGGGAGGAGGGAGACCCCCACGAAGTTTAATAATCCATATCCCAACGAGGAAGAGAAAAGTGGCACGCCATGTCTACTGTTATCGTCATTCAACTGTTAAATCACTCGGGCTTCTTAGGATTCGCGTATCCTGTGCTCGATTGCCCGCGACCCATCAATTGCATCGGTCGTTTACGTTCCTACCATCCAACCGATTGGTTCTTTGTAACACGGAAAGGATCCACCGATCACGATGGATTACTTCCGAGAAAGCCAATGTCGACGAATCGTGGCCGACGAAGACGACGACGACGACGACGACGACGACGACGACGACGACAACGACACGAAGGAAGAAGAGTAAGGAGGAGAAGGAGAAGGAGGACGAAGAAGGGGAGAAAGAAGAAGAAGATGACCAAAGGAGGATACGAAGGATGATCACCACGAAAGGATCACTCGTCCGTGGCAACGACGTTACGAAGATATCTTGCGAATGTTATATTATAAAGACTATTACCTACGATCCTTAGGGGCCTCTTCCTACATACATACATACATACATACATACGTACATAGATACATAGATATTCTATCTTACTTTTATACACGGACAGGAACACACTGTACATTCTACCCTCACCGAGAATCGATTTAACCGTGTAATTGTAGCAATCTCGTCGACAACGAACGATGTCCAAGCCACTCGAAAATATTTTCCATCTCTCCTTCTCTCTTAATCTTTATATCTCCGTCTCTGTCTCTATCTCTATTTATCCTTTTTATCTTTCCTAGCCTTTTAACTCCTGTCTACTTTTCTCTTATACTCTGTACTCTTCCGAGTAGATCAGAGCAGAACAGAGCAGAACAGAGCAGAGCAAATGTCTTCCTTCTCCCTGTTTCCGCGTAATTCGCAGAATCCTATCCTCCCAACCCCGCCGACGTTACAATTTCAACGTAGCGTATGATGCGGTTTGAATACATGACGGAAAGAAGATACCCTCAGAGCTACTGTTGTCCGTCGTTTTTCTATTCTACTTACAGATAATAAGAAACGATTAAGACTCTTTGATTTTGTTGAAAATTATCAATCGCATGTTGTGGTCTCTTCTTGCTGGTTGTTTTCTCTCGTTGTTAAGAAAAAAAAAAAAGAAAAAAACGAAAAAAATTAAAAGAAATTAATAGAAATACAAAAATGAAGAGACAATTACATTCTCTGAAAAAAAGAAAAAAGAAAAATAAAAAGAAAATTATAAATATGTATATCTAAGATTTATTTAAACTTACAAGGCCAACATAAGAAAAACTTTTCTCTCACTGGTCACTTTTACAAGGACAGTAAAACTATCCGTCGGAATCGTCCCTTATTGCCGTGCACGCGAAACATCCAACTGCAAGAGAGACTCTTTCATATTTGCCTTGACAACTATCCCCGTTTGATTCTACCTCGTTTCTCTTTCTACTGCCTCGAAATCAAAAACAGGCCCAGAAGCAACAAACAAGAACGACAACGGAAAAAGAAAAAAAAACTGTATACCGATACAAAAGAATGATACAAGAGGGTGAATGAGAAAAAAAAGAGAAAAGAAACGAAACAGAGAGAAAGGGAGAAGAAAAAGAAAAAAAAATAAGAAACAACAAAAAGACAAAGAGAAGGATGAAAGAAAAGAGAAAAAAAATAGAAAAAAGAGAAAAAAAAAGAAAAAAAAAAAGAAAAAGGTATCTGTCTTTTCCTTGTCTCCTCGATGGATTAGTTTAAAACCCTTTGCGTTTGTGATTGCGTGCTCACGTCGTTCCGAAAACCGAAATCAGTAAAATCTTTTTAGAGTCCTCTTAGCTTCAATTTAGCGAGCAAGCGAATAACAGAGAAAGAGAAAGAGAAAGACAGAGAGAGAGAGAGAGATAAAGAGAGAGAGAGAGAGAAGTTCTCAACACCAGGGAACAACACAACAACCGGTCGTACCGGGGCAAGTTGGAAGAGCCGACCGAGTCCCAAGATCCTTCGTCCAATCCGTATATACCACCTTTTTCTTCCTTCTACACGACCTTCCCGTCGGCTTTTCTATCCCGATACAAAGAGGCGCGAGCGAGCCTAATTATTATGATAGCTCGCCACTGGATTCTGTCGGTTCCTTTGATCTGCCGCCGTTTAGCATGATCCCCCGATATTTAGGTAGGCCCCGTTGTCCCTCTTCCGACGCTGCCACTCGGTTCTCTCTTCTCACTCGGCAGTTCAGTGGGGAGTGTGCGGTTGGCTCTCTTTGCCGTTTATGTAAAGGGGTGGGGGTAAAGATCAGAGTGGGGATGAAGCACGAGGGCGGATCGTACCGAGTAGTACGATCGTTGGTGGGACGAGGTCCATGGATATAAACCATTCATCAATGAGCATTTTTTTCGGAAAATTTACAAGTCCCTCTTTCTTTCTCTCTCTCTCTCTCTCTCTTTCTCTCTTTCTCTCTTTCTCTCTTTCTCTCTTTCTCTCTTTCTCTCTTTCTCTCTTTTTATCTCCGTCCGCATAGCCCATCTTTCTTTATCCCTCTTCTTCATTCTTTCCGTTCTTCGAGAAGTAAGAGGAGTAAGAAAAGGAAGAGGAGGAGGTGAAGAAGGAGAAGAAGAAGTAGAAGATCGTGGACCACACGTGAACACGCAGGTAACGCTCCGCCGAGCTATTAGTCTCGGGATAACCGGAGATCGAATTTTTAATTGATTATTTGATATATATCTCACAGCGATCGGGCGGATTCACGTCCATCGTCATATCTTCCTATCGTCGTATCACCATCATTCGTCGTTGTTCAAGCTTTTTTCGGTTATTTTTCATCTGTGAAAAAAGATTTACCTGAGAAGACTCGTTTTATACCAGTACCTACGTATCAAAACTTCGTCATTTAAGACTAACGTCTCCGTCTTCGTCTTCGTCTCCGTTTCTTCGTAACCGAGTTCAGACGAGAGACTACTAAATCGAGAGTCTTTAAAATTCCATCACGCGAACCCTGGATCTTTACCTTCTCTTTCTCTCAATACTTATAAATACACATATATGTATATATGGTATTTATCTATATATATATATGTATATATATATATATATATGCAGATAAACATATATCTGCATAACCTACTTGCTACTGACCTACACATACATTTTCTTCTCATTTTCAGAGTTCGAGTCATCGTCTCTTTCGTCGTCTTCGTTGTCGTCGTATCGTTTGCCATCGATACAACACGCCATTCTTCTTCTTATCTCGAACCTACCAAGCGAACACGTTCGATCTCGTCTCAAAACCGAACTCGATAACAGCCGAGGTCTGGCAAGCGTGTAATTTTCCACCGCTTATCCAACCACTCTACGACCGGGATCCATTCTCTTGTCAGATCGGGCCGAGTCACGGAAGGTGTGAGGGGACAAAAAAGTCTTGGGTGGGAGAGTAAAAGAAAGAGAGAGAGAGAGAGAGAGAGAGAAAGAGAAGGAGAAGGAGAGAGGGGAAGGAAGGGGATAAATCTCGTTACAGCTCTCGAGATACATCCTTCGTAATCGAGCACGGCACACGGTGCTTGCGCAGCTTGCTTCCACGATGCGCCGTGACGACGGACGCTAATAGCGTTCGCACGACACCTTTCGAGAGTAAAGGAGACTCGTCAAGAGAAAAAGTAAGATAAAGAGAGAAAGAGAGAGAGAGAGAGAGAAATAGAAAAAGGAAGGTCATGCCATTGCATTGTTATTAAGTTCCTATCGCATATTCAACACAGTCCATAGAAATTTTAAGTATTGTCGGATATTCAAACAATACATACTTTAAAAAAATAACTGATAAAACTCGATGAAAGAAGAAATAATAATAATAATGATAATAATAATAATAATAATAAGACCTTAATAGTACGTAAATATCTAAATAATGAAACGTTCCACGCGAGATGTATGATAGTTACGAATTCACTTTGTTGACAGGTACATATATATATATATATCCACTATCTACCAAACTTATAATGATAAATAAAAAGCATCGTTGATTCGTTAAATTGTAAACTATTACTTATCTATCTATGATTGGAGAGATCAAAAGCATTTATATCAAACTTTGACGATTTTCCTCTGTATAATTTTTTTTTCTTCTTTTTCTTCTTTCTTCTTTTTTATCGTTGAATTAATTAACCATCTACTTCTTCTAATTCGATTATATATATATATATATATATACATAAATATATTATATTCATGATGCATTAGAGAAATACGATATCTATTTATTAGATACGATACGATGTACTAACTTAAGCGTAATTGACGAGAAGTCTAGGACAGGTCACGCGAAGGTATTCTTACAGCAAAGGTCGCTGCCACGGCAAAAGTTCATGAACGTTTCGCATCGCTCGTTTCCTCTTCGAACGAACAATCAGATCTATTTATGTATCACAGATACATGTATGTACATACATACAGATACATACATATATATCTAAATACTTATTTATATCCTTAGACATAAATATTCCATCTGTCTCCTCATTTTCGATTTAGATTTAAAACGTTCACCATGTAATACTGAAATACTTAAATAAGTAACTATAATACATCCGCGAAAGAAAAGAAAAAAAAAATCTGATCATCCTATCTCTCTCTCTCTCTCTCTCTCTCTCTCTCTCTCTCTCTCTCTCTTGTTCTCTCTCTTTCTCTCTGTTTTTTTATCTCCCATTCTTCAATCGATTGAATGTGAGCATATCTTGTACTTACACGTACTTACTTACAATACACGATATTTATTTACTACCTATTAAACTCACTTGTCTCGGGAGACCGATCCTACATTGATGCGTAACCAAAACCAAGTTATTATTTAACACTGCCTTCCCCCTTCCTCTCAACCTTACTTTACTTCTTGCAAGTTCGAATAAATGAATCGACAGATAAGTGTAAGATACTTAATACAGGTACAAATAACATCATTGCACAAAAATCATTAGATTGATTTCTTATTAAAATTTTATATTACAATAAGACAATAAAATTTTATAAAAATTAGACTATTTTAATTGTAATTCTTTCTTTCTTTCTCCCTCTCTCTCTCTCTCTCTTTCTCTTTCTTTTTTTCTCCCTCTCTTTCTCTCTCTCTCTCTCTTTCTCTTTCTCTCTTTCTCTCTCTCTTTCATTTACACATACACGTGCACATATTTATTTTCGGTAATATAAAAAAAACAGAACGAACGAACAACGTACAATTGAAAATAATAAGTTCCCTAACAAAAAAAATTGCGATGAATAATCACTTATTAGATACTTACTTATTTGGATAAGTACTTACTTACTACTTACATACGTAGATACTTATTATCATTATCATTTTATAATCGAGCAGAAAACGTCGATGCAAGTCCCGTGCAAACGATTTTCCTTCTTAAAATGAGGAACGATAGAGTGAGAGTAGCATAGTGGGGAATATATTCTCTCTCTCTCTCTCTCTCTCTCTCTCTCTCTCTCTCTCTATTTTCTCTCCCGCCAGTACTACAGGCTCGTGTAGGTATACACACATACAATATGTATACATATATATACATATATATATTAGTTCCTCGTACACGTCGAACCCCTCTCAACCAAGTAGAAACATAATTCTAGCCACGCCTATCGTCGATCTTCCCTCTCTCTCTCTCTCTTTCTATTTCTCTCTCTCTTATACCAACGGCTCTGAGGTTATCGTCATCGTTCGGTCTGTCTTTCTTCCACTCATAAGTAACTCGCGTTCGTCCCTCGTGATGTTCCGGTCTACCAATCCGCTCCCAACTTCGATATTGGACTCCTCCTATGCAAGCTTTCCATTGGTCGCTTCATTTTCGCTGGCCTTTGAAGTCTCACCTTTGAAGAGACCGATTTATACCGTACATGATGTTTACCCCCTCTCTCTCATCCAACTACGTTGCTTTTCTCTCTTTCTCTCTCTCTCTTTCTCTCTTTCTCTATCTCTATCTCAATTTCTAGAGTACTTACATGCGCAAACTTTCTCGCTCTTCGTTAGATTTCCTATGGTTCTCTCGCTCTCTCTCTCTCTCTCTTTCTCTCTCTCTTTCTGTCGAAAAATTACAGAGGGATTCGTACGATGTAGGGTGCTGTACGAAACTACCCTCCCCACCCGTCCATCCTATAACACGAATCCTCATTCTCTACTATATGTATGTAGAATTCGTAAGCAAATGGATTTATTTGCAACTTTGTAGATTTAACGAGATCAGATCAAGAAATTGAACAGTACGATCAACTTAAATTTAATTTATCACCCCGAAGAGAAATCATATAAATCCTTTTTCGAAAAGAAGTTAAGTCTAATTTTAAATTCGAACGAAAAAAAAAATGAAAAGAAATGTAAGTATTTAACGAATGTTTGAAGGATAAATAACGAAGAAAAAAATAGGAGATAATGATACGAAGGAATCGTGATTTCCGAGTTGTTGTGAGTTAGATAAGTATCTATCTATCTATCTATTTATCCATCTATTTATCCATTTAAAACGTAAAAATAAAAAATGGAAGAAGCGCTAGAAATGACGTAGCTTCTTAAAAGGATTTAAATAGGTATTTATCTATTTATCTATCCATCTAATTATCTACTTATCCATTTAAAACGTAAAAATAAAAAATAGAAGTTTTAGAAAGGACGGCACTGCTTAAGAGAAGTTAGATACATAGGTAGGTGAGGTAACCTTTTGTGGTTCGTCGAAGTAAATACTTACCTGTAGGTCAATCCTCGGTTATTCAAGGAGCGAACAATGTTGCTTCTATGGCCGCGACCAATCGGACAAACGATCGTTGCTTTGTTATCCCCTAGCGAAGGTGTCGGAACCACCAAAGGAATCGCTTATTAGCCACGCGACCCTCGATAAAAGCAAAAATACTTTTGTTGCATTCGACTGCGACTTTCCATTCAAATAGAAAAACAACGAAACCGTAAAGATCCTTCGCCAGAGAAAAAAAAAAGGAGAAAGAAGAAAAAAAACAAGAAGAAAAAGAAGAAAAAGAAAAAGAAAAGAAAAAAGATATGATAATTGGATCTAATTTTAAAATGATCGATATGTAAAGAACGATATAGAGAGGGAATTTTTTTCTTTCTTTTTCAAACGTCCTGTTGCAAAAAAATAACATAACATTATTTTCTTCTACGAAGCAATTTTGTTTTTTTTTCTTTTTTCTTATTTTTTTAAACCTTTGCAAGTGAATACTTGATTGATTTAACGATACCTATCTGTAATATTATAAATATGATATCATTATTTATAATGAAAATCGTAAAAAATAACTAGAAGCGATTATAAATAATTAAAAACAACAATATCGTTTTAACACATCTATACATAAATATATAACATTAATATGACAAAACTTACATAATAACATAATTATTATACAACGACAACTATTATAAATATATAAATAGAGAATCATTTTTTATGATCAAATCATAATAAAGAATTAGATAACTTGAAAAAGAAAACAAAAACAATGACACACATAATAGACACATAAGAATAACGCTTTACATTATCGCTGTATAATATTGCATAATACATCCCTAAACATTTACATATCGTTGTACATACTTTTATCAATACATTTCAATAATTATAGTAACGTAAAGTTTAAAATGAATACCCATTGAAGATATACATTGAAATTAAATCCAACATTATTAAAAAAAAAAGAAAGAAATCATAATAACCAATTAAAATTAATCAGAAATTATTGCCATTTGTTATCGAAGGGCCGATATTCATTAATAAATTTAAATAAATAGAACTTTAAAAAGTAACAAAATAAATTCATTGTCGATCGTCGTTAAAGAGATTCGCAATACTTCTTCTATCGATTTAAGCAAACCTTTCGACGCCATCTTGCTTGTGCAAGACGATAATATAGCGGACGCGTTGTCGACGAACGAATGGTACACCTCTGCCAAGAGAGTGTAGTAGGTTGTTCGTAAAGTCGAGTTTGCCATCGAATCCGTCGTATACACGCTGCTTACCCTCGCGAGGGCAAAAGGAATCCGTGCTTCATCGTCCGGAAGTGATTCGATACAAGAGACTTCAGGGACGACTGACGGAAGAAGTAGCGAGGGAGGTGACAAATCGAATCTCGATTCCGTAATGGTGGATTAGAGAAATTCTTTTCAACGATATCCGATCGATATCTGTTCTCTGTTTGTACCTTGCACTCTTTTCTCTACATATACATTTATATATATATATATATATATATATATATATATATGTATTATTGAATGATATAGTTAAACAATTAGTAAATTATTTCTTTAGATAGACATGTAGTAATTTTTCAATATGTATTATATATTAAATTAATATATTGATATGGAGGTATATAAAAATATATAATTATATTAAATTAATGTAGAAATTAAATTAATCATATATTAATATAAATTGATTAAATTAATATATATATATATATATATACATATATATAAATTTTATATAAATGTTCTTTTATCAATTACTGAAAGTATCTCTCATTGTCATTGCAATCGATCTATTTAAGAAAACAAAAAAAAGAAAAGAAAAAGTAAATCAATATTAAGTATTACATTTGCCCAATGTTAAAAGGCAAAAATTCATCACATAAACGTCGATTAACTATAAAAACGAATTGATCATTTTATTGTACGATCGTGTTGAACAGCCGTCGGCATATCGAATTTGGGATACCGATCGCTGACATGTAAATGCGATCGGCATGGTCGAAAACGTGTTTTTTTTCTTTTTCTTTTCTTTGTCCCATAACAATTCGAATATTCCCATCCCCGACTTATGGTCTGTTCCATTTGGACTTTATGAACGTTCGACACGCTCGTCTACTTATTTGTAGGTAGTATCTATGGGGTAGCCTAGAGGACGAACGACAGACTCCACGAGTAGGTAGATACTACCTACTGCTATGGTTGTCTGTGTTCGCAAGGCGTGACTCTGAGTCCGATCGATTTGCGATACTATAAAAGAGCGATTCCTCGGTAACCGATGATGCCTTTCGTGTGTGAATTTACACGAGTTTTAAGGTATAATAGATATAACGGAAAAAAAGAGAAAAAAAGAAACAAAAAAGAAAAAAGAAAACGACATCTTAATATTCCATCCTCTCTGATATCGGAATAAAAAAAAAAAAAAAGGAAAAAATGTTTAAACTCCTGTCAACTCTTTAAATCCAATTTTACAAGGAAATTGGATTTAATACGTTTCACGTGTATTTAAGTAAACATATATAGGTTGGTATATCGAATGTCGAGTTAATTGCTATTACTTATTTTCGATATTACATACATACATCGATAATTACTAACCTATTCCAGAAAATGGAGCAGGTATCGGTGATTAAATCGATAAACGGGCCGATAAATTAATTCTTTTTTATAAACAACACGATCTGAACGTTTAATACAATACGTTCTCATTAAACTTAATTAATTCGTGTACATATAAATTTCTAAGCTAAATCATTAAACGTTATCCATCCTACTATTATAATTTACGCTATTAGATTCTTATCTTTTGATAGGGTCTTCGAATGATAATATAATAAAAGAAATATTCTTGTTCGCAAACATATTATTGAATACGTCCACGCGGCACGCATCACACGTGTCGTCACAGTGAACGTTCCACCTTCGGCTATTAACAAATATTAATGACGAACGAGCGATTACCTAGTCACGCCCATCTATATTAATAAATCGTTTGTATCATGCTACCGGTTCGACTCATGTAGTACTTAACTATTTATCGAGAACTAAAAACATTCGAACAGGTTTATGGGAATAAATAAACTCATGTAGATCCTTAAAATCGAGTTTATCGTATCGTCGATAATACAAAAACTAATTCTATTTCCAGAGATCATGGTCGTCGAAACTCGTTGAGATAAAATATATTTCATATAAAAAAAAATGTCTGCATCGAAAAAAAAGAAAAAAAA